TCAAAGCAAGAGAACTAAATGGAGAACTAAACATGGGGGGTGGGGGGATTTATCCACTTTAAATCCACATTTAAAATGGATAATGAAGCATTTTATATGAAAATATTAGACTGGATCTGATTAATTGAGGGGAGGGCATAGGGACAAGAAACAGGTATGGCTACATGGCCCTGGCTTCAATTCAGAGTGTAATGAAACAAATAAACATCATGTCATAAACGTTATTAATTTAAACTGACTCAATTCCAACCAACACATGTAATAAACATTTAAATCCACTATGTTTGGATCATAGTTTGAATTTTGTGTTAGCATTACATTGGCACTGACAGTATATTACATATTCAGCATTAAAAAAATTATAATGACAAAAACTTACCGTCAAATTCCTCGTCAGTTTCGTCAAAGAATGTGTCCTGTTCATCATCACCATTATCCTCCAGAAAATAATCCGCTATAAAACCGCTTAAATCATAATTTGGGCAATTCCACCGAGATTAATATCTAACAAGCTGTTTAAGCAATCAGACATTTTACGTTCCTGCACATGCTTTGGTGCTGCCATGTCAGATGTCAAAACGACGCAGTTAACAGTTAATCCAGCAAACAAATTATATTATTGACACTTATAAGACACAAATAAAATATAATATAACAATATTATTAGCAGAATACAGAGCTACAAAACACATAAGCTGTTCTTAAGTTAAATGTTTTGGCGATGACACGGAAACACCTCCTCAGATCTGAACCGGCCGGCTGAAGTCGCTTTTTTTTTCATTGTGTTGACCTGATTGCCACTCGTGTGGATTGATTTTAAGGTCTGTTTACTCTTTCTAATAGAAAATAAGTCAAAAAGAAGTTCCTGAACTGAATGATAAGAATCAGCAAGTGTTGTTACGCCGAAAAATAAACCCGGATACGATTGAAATCAGTGTTAAAGCCTGCGTCCGTTTTTTTTTTTTTTTTTGCTGCGCAAAAGTATAACATAGTGTCAATAAAATCATTAAGTATTTTAGTATTTATCATGTTATAAATTAAAATTTGAGTATTGAATCTCAAACCCCTTGTAATAATCTATCATTTACAGCAATAAACACACATTAGCTATTTTTGTCATTTTTATGGCTATGACTACGCTCTTTTATTCATAATTAGATTCTGCGACTTTAACCGGGGGTTCACAGGCGGGGTCACATATTTTCAACACAAACCCTGTTACTGCAATATTATTACAATAAGTTATAAGACTTTAGCAAACATGACCACGAAAAAATCAGTTTACAATGACACAGACATCAACAATCAGCGTAAAAATCTCAACAATGTTGACAATCAAAAGTACTTTGCTGCAATGCATGCTGGGTACCAGCATAGTACAAAACACCCAGCATGCATTATAACATGAATACATTATGCAGCTGAATTATCCTAGAATTTAGTTTGATTCTAAATGTTTGCTTTTATTTTTTGCTGTCATTTTTTGTGAATTAGTATCTTTTCAGTGATGTTCTGAATTAATCTGTTTATCTAAATATTTGTGACTGTCACCATTGTTGAGACTCATATACTGATTTTTGATATCTGTGTGTGTCAACATAATCCATGTTTCATGTTTGTTAAAAGATTTAAACCCGGTTGTTATAACGCTGGATCTCATGCTGCGGTAACAGTGTTTGTGATGTGAATATATTAGTGAAGCAACATAATTGTTGAGTCAGCCTTTTTCATGATGATTATAAATCCATCAACAGAAAACCGTCAACATCTGATGTCATTTCACTTTAGCTTTTTTTGCTGCTGCAAATTGTTTGACAAACACACTGTCACAGGAGCCAAAAAGAACTAAATATATAATAAGAGTTAAGAGCCCAGCTAATGGAAACACTCATACCTGTTATGGTGACTTCAAATGAAACACAAGTAAAGTCCTCCTCAGTGTTTTGTTCCAATCATCAAAGGATTATTAGGAACACCTGTTCAATATCTCATTGATGCTATTATCTAATCAACAAATCACATGGCAGTTGCTTCAATGCATTTAGGGGTGTGGTCCTGGTCAAGACAATCTCCTGAACTACAAACTGAATGTCAGAATGGGAAAGAAAGGTGATTAAAGCAATTTGCATGGTTGTTGGTGCCAGACAGGCCGGTCTTGAGTATGTATTGAGTATTTCACAATCTGCTCAGTTACTGGGATTTTCACACACAACCATTTCAAGGGTTTACAAAGAATGGTGTGAAAAGGGAAAAATATCCAGTATAGTCCTGTGTGCAAAAATGCCTTGTTGATGCTAGAGGTCAGAGGAGGGCCGACTGATTCAAGCTGATAGAAGAGCAACTGTGACTGAAATAACCACTCTTTACAACTGAGGTATGCAGAGTTTGGCAAAATTCACCTGGACAGTTTAAACCTTCAAGCCAACACGAAAAAACACAATCTTAATGCTCTGAAAGCTCGATAAAGAAATATACTTGCAAGTGTATATGGTTCTCTTTGTGTTAATGAATGAAGCTGCACTTGTTGAGTGGCCTTGTGTCCGTGTGTGTCGTAGGAGCGTCATGTGGTTTGAGGATGATCCAGTGTACGAACGTTCAAATTAAGTTTTAAGGTCTTTGACGTAAATTACCAAAGCAACAATTCAGGTTGTGTTAACCCTTTAGGCGCCAGAGGTTTTTTCCTAAAACGTTCGATTTTGACATCTTAATTTCAAAAGACTATATCTTAAAAGTGAAACAAGATAGATACTTTCTGTAAATTAGAGAAATATTAAGGATGACCCAAAGTTTATGTAGGGATTAAATTTCCCCATCTAATTAGCATATTATGATGTCATATGGTGGCAGCAATCATGGATTATAGAATTTTCATGAAAAGTCACAAGTTTAATGATAAAATGCATCCCTTCTTTCCCCCCAAAATGTCCATCACCTTCTGTATGCTATACTGCACAATACTGAATGCTCAGGTATATAGTAAGTAGTAAGCAAACTGTGTAAATCATTGCTAATAAATGGTAGAACAAACCGTAGCATGTAGTGGTTGGCCTTTTGCTGTAGAGATTTTCCGCACTCTGATTCCATGTATGGGGCACATATATATTTTTCATATGACACACAAACAGAAGTAGACAAGACCTGTTTAGTTGAAAAGATCACTCGTTACAGCAAAGCGCAGATCATAAGTAATGATACGAGCAGGCCAGATCTGCCTCGCGCGCGTGCTGAGTATGCACACTATTGCGACTCCCCACCCTGCCTTCACATTACCCCCTATCTGTATTATAAACACTTCGACCTCATCTAACATACCCAGTGATAATAGACAAAGTCTCCACCACAATACTGTCGCCGCGATCGCGGAGAGGCTCTGATGAAATGGCTTACTCTCACACTAGCTCCGCTTTTGATCGCACTGATTCAATGCGCTGTAACTCCAACATTTTGTATAGAAACATGACGTTTTTTGAATCGGGGATGAAGTATGACATGTCTGCCATCCAGTGGAGGGGATGTCGAATGAAATTTAACACCCAATTTGACAAAATCAGCCGTTTTATTCAGTGACGCATCTTGTCGAGTAAACTCGACAGTGGCGCCAAGAGGGTTAAAGGGATAATGAACTGAGAAATCAAATTTTCCTTGAGCTTTTGACATCTAAGAGGTTATCAAATTATAAGAATAGAACTGAAAACTTCCTTGTTAGTTCAAAAAAAGCTTTTATTTACACCAGGCTCAGCAAACGACTCATTTTTCAAAGTGGGGAACTATGACGTCAAAGATGATAAAACACCACTCCCGAAGAAGATGATCAATGCCTAATTCAACACGGCCGGTTTAGCCCTGCCCACCGATTTGCATATTACGCGCATAGTTAAATAATATAGGCCTACCTCGTGATGACAAACCGTATCCAGCTACCAAGCAATAGAAAATATTGTGCAGTGCCTGGTTGTGGATGAAGACAGTCGCTCCTCTGGATTCCAATAGGACTGCATGGTTAAACTTTATTTTTTAATAACGTTCCAGCTGATGAGGGTAAAATATTGTCCGTTTGTTTGCTTCATTTCACTGAGGATTGTTTTGTAAACAAGACACATGTCGAGACTGGATTTGCAGACCGATTAAGATAAAAAAACGCTGCTATGCCTTCTATATTAGATCCGACAGGAATGGTCCAACACCCCAGACAGCAAACTGACATTGAATCAACGTGGAAACGACGTCTCTCAGGACATTGAAACAACGTTGATTTTGCTCATCGAATTAACGTTGAACCAACGTCAGATGCGGCATTCTTCAAAGCTAAATAAAAATCAAAAATTGGTTTGCTTTCATAACGTTGAAACAACGTTGATTTCAAGTTGATTTTCCATTAGTTTTGAAAGAATGATGCGTCTGACGTTGGTTCAACGTTAATTCAATGAGCAAAACAATGTCAGATCAACGTTGTTTCGATGTCATGTTTCCACGTTGATTAAATGTCAGTTTGCTATCTGGGACATGGACTCTGGGTTGAACATTTATGGGCGAATCATTCTGGTTGCCATTTTACAACATTGGACGTTTTCAAAACAATTTCCTCCATGCGAGTTGAAACTCATTATAATATGCAAAACTGTTATTCACTCACAGCAGTGGCCATTTACTTCCAAGTCTTAAATGCGAGACGCCCATAAAAACCGAGCGTTTTTGAGCTAGGCTAAAAACTTGGGTACAAAAAAGCCTATTACTTATTCATTTTGATGTTTTTGAATGTAAAAACCAAGAGAATGTCATAAGTTGACCTCAGACAACAATATAATAAAAATTTTAAATCCAGTTCATGAGCCCTTTAACTACGTTTGCTCTGAACCATTAGGGTGACTTCCTGTGGGCTCACTGGTGAGTTACCACGTGGAAGTCAATGGTTAAAAGCTTTTCAGTTGTGGGTTTGATGGATTCCCACCTGACAGACTCCAGATACTCTACAACAGGCCAGTTGAAATCCCCTTAAATACCTCAATTTGTTGAGTTGACAGTTTGCACTCTTCAGTCCAATAGAGAGCAGCTTCACTCCTGAATCCTGCAGGTCATTGTTACTCAGGTCCAGCTCTCTCAGGGAGGATTTTGATGATTGTAGAACTGAAGCGACAACTTCACAGTGCTGATCACTGAGATTACAGGCTGCTAATCTAAAAAAAGAGAGACTCTGATTAAAAGGCATGCTGGTATTCTCACTATATCGCACGACTTCCTTGGTTAACCAAATTCAACATATAAGAAAGATAATGCTGATTGACATTCTGGTCTTTTGACAGCGAGATAAACAATTAAAGTAGGCACGACTTCATATTTTATGAACATTATATGTATAATGTTTTATTTCTGTTTATATACTCCTTTACTGAAAAAAACCCCCGTCTTGTTAGCTTAAGAGTATCATTTGAAATGATTCAACACAAAGATGTGACACTAGGGTTGGGAATCGTGAGAAATGTTCCGGTTCCGATTCCGGTTCCGCCAAACGATTCCGGTTCCCATTCAATTAAAAATATAAGTAAGAGAAAAATCCACAATCCTTTTTGTGTTTATTTTTTATAGTACTTGACAAATTAGTTTAACAGACTGCTAATGTAAACAAACTCAACATATTATTAAGCAATCTTTGCAAAAAAAAATGTATATATATATATATATAAAGGAAATTAAAAAAATTCAGCATTCTCTATAATAATTTAGGACCTCTCCTTTATTGTATCTCCAACAGTGAAGAATACCCCCTCAGAAGGAGTAGAATATGCTTTAACACACAATAAAGATGTGTGTAGAACAGATTATTTTTTAAAACGTTTGAATGATTGATTCATAAAGACTTTACTTATTTCATTACTGGATAAATCGGCGCTCTAGCAGTTAATAAACAGAACTGCATGCGTCTTGCGGAAGAACATTGTTGCCGGAGCTACTTCTCTCTGTTTATGTCCATGACGAGTCACGCAGGCATTGGGCTACTCCGCAGCAGCTGCGATCCGCCGGCCAGTCCGAGTATTAACGCTTATTGCAGGCTTTACGTAGTGATTCAAGATAAGACAAAAACACGGTTTGAAAAAAAAAACATTATGATGCACTCGCTCATTGTATATATTTTGTAAATTCTGAACACAAAAAAATATACGGACTGCATCTGTTTTGACCACTACCGTCAATGTTTACTCAGACTATAATCTCACTAATTCTGTAACGGAAATCATTTGAATATGTGAAACAAATAAATATTGTTACTGTGTGATTGTAAAGCAGTTTCATATCGACAACTGCTCTCTCTCTCTCAGTGCAAAATGATTTGAATGTAGAGAGTGACTCGGCGGTCGGCGCGCATAGTGCGCGTGTGTCTGTGTGTGACAAATGCAGCGCGTGTGAGAGCAAATCGCAACTTCAGTGAAGTTTTTGTCATTTAGGAATAAGACGGCGTCTTCTACTCCCAGCACTTCGCCCACATGATGATATCGCATCGGCATCAGAACCGTTGTCGGAACCGAAACTTAGGAATTTTGCACGGTTCCGGTATTTTTTCAAAAACACAACCGGTTCTGGAAAAGAACCGGTTCTCGGTTCCCAACCCTATGTGACACACACAAAGATGGGAGAGAAGGGAACAGGATCAGGAAGGGACCTTGAACCAGCCTGAATCTCTTATGTTTTTTCAATTTTATTTGTATTCCATTTTTCAGAATTCACATCGTTTCAATGCTGCAATTAACCTCTGATTATAAAGGTTCTAACTAGGGATGTAACTGGTTAATCGATTGATTGTCGACAAGAATTTTAGCCAATAAATAAATCAATTGTCGAACATTCCGAACGTGACACGAGATTCTCACGCAAGAGACCCGACACAAACTTGAGGCAGCAAAAAATAAACCAAACATGAAGCGGATAAAAAAGGGGTGGACTACCAGCATTATACTGCATGCTAACCTTGAAAATCCAGCTGTATTCTAGCAATAACTTAGTTTTCCTTATTATCTAGGCTCCTTGCATGCTGGCTAATAACTTTTTTTAGAGCTGGGTCTCAAACATTAACAGCACTGTGTTGGACAGAATTGTGCCGCGGTGTTCCATGACGGAGAGAGAGCGCGAGAGGTACGGGTGAGCGAATGCGCTACGGCACTCTGCAATCAAATACATACATCTTCTTCCGCTCATCCGGGGCTGGGTCGTGGGGGCAGCAGTCTAAGCAGAGATGCCCAGACTTCCCTCTCCCTAGACACTTCCTCCAGCTCTTCTGGGGGGATGCCGAGGCGTTCCCAGGCCAGCCGGGAGACATAGTCTCTCTAGCGTGTCCTAGGTCTTCCCCGGGGCCTCCGCCCAGTGGGACGTGCCCAGAACACCTCCCCAGGAAGGCGTCCAGGAGGCATCCGGAACAGATGCCCGAGCCACCTCAGCGGACCCCTCTCGATGTGGAGGAGCAGCGGCTCTACTCTGAGCTCCTCCCGAGTGACCGAGCTTCTCACCCTATCTCTAAGGGATCGCCCAGCCACTCTGCGGAGAAAGCTCATTTCAGCGGCCTGTATCCGGGATCTTGTCCTTTCGGTCATGACCCAAAGCTCATGACCATAGGTGAGAGTAGGAACGTAGATTGACCGGTAAATCGAGAGCTTTGCCTTACGGCTCAGCTCCTTCTTCACCACAACAGACCGGTACATTGACCGCATTACTGCTGAAGCTGCACCGATCCGTCTGTCAATCTCCCGTTAATCCCCTCACTCGTGAACAAAACCCCAAGATACTTAACCCTCTGAGACCTAAGGGTATTTTTACAATAAATTTTCCGTCTGGTGTCATTTACTAAAAAAGCTTGTAAAATATCAACCCTTTGGTGCACAGACAATTGACACACCTCTTTTTTTTCAGGACAAATTGAACTTTCAGCATATTTGTGTTACATTGATGTCACCTGAATGTAAAATAAGTTATGGGACCATAAAGACAAATGAAAAAATAAATCGGAAATGGAATCACTCAATTATTTATTGAAATCACACACAAATAAATAAAAGCTAAGCAATTTTCCTCTGGAAAATAGTTTGTTCATGTCTTTGGAGTCCTGGAGCACAGGAATAAACATTATAACTTGTACAGAACAAAAAATACTGACATTTTTCCAAAAGAAGTCCAGGCGTTTGGGGCCTCATGAAATTCACTGGTGCCAAGCCTCAAAACAGTTCCTATCAGCAATCACACAGAGGGCCACATCACAGGTTTTGCATTTCTATTTTATTTATTCTTTTATTTATTATGTTCTTTTTATTCTTTTATAATACATTTATACTACTATAATACTTTTTTACAGTAAATAAATAAATGGCACTTCAGCTGGGTCTATCCTGGTAATCTAGTTCCTCATCTGTCAAAAAGCTCTGTTCTCCTGAAAATCCATCATCCTGCAATGCACCAAAATAGACCAGCGCTTTATTTACGTCCATTTCGCTGTGTTTCTCTGTGAATCGCGCGTCTCCGTGAGTCTCTCTATCTCTCTACACTATATCAGCGCTTGGTTCATGCGTAATGACGCACACCAATGTTTACAACGGATCAGCCTGTAATTGGTCAAAAACCATCACGTGAAAACATCACGTGATATCCAGGATGTCCGCTAGCATCAAGCTAGCGGCAAAAATGACCGAATATTTATGAATTATGGGCTTCAAGATTATCAAAGTTTGACATAAAGCGTTTGGATTTATTGCTGAAAACCTCTGAAAGGAAGCACAAGTTCCAGGCTGGATAGAAAACCTTCTGTAAAGGCTAGAAAGACCCGAAAGACACCCCCGTGATGGCTAGCTCGTTAGCTTTCTGCTGGAAAAAACGGTAAGAAAATCGATAAATCTGTCATCGAGTTATGTAAACATTTATCGGAGGTGACGTGTGGCATCGTCGACGACGCCGTCGGGCTCAGGGGGTTAAACTCCTCCACTTGAGGAAGGATCTCTCCACCAACCTGAAGTGGGCAAGCCACCCTTTTCCGGCTGAGGACCATGGCCTCGGATTTGGAGGTGCTGATTTTCATCCCAGCCGCTTCACACTCGGCTGCAACCGTCCCAGTGCATGCTGAAGGTCCTGGTATGAAGGGGCCAACACGACAACATCATCCGCAAAGAGCAGAGACGAAATCGTGTAGTCCCCAAACCTGACACCCTCCGGCCCCTGGCTGCGCCTAGAAATTCTGTCCATAAAAATTATGAACAGAACCGGCGACAAAGGGCAGCCCTGCCGGAGTCCAACATGCACCGGGAAGAAGTCTGACTTACTACTTACTGACTTACTATGTTTGATTATGTTCCTGAAAATGACGATCGTAATTTAGCTCTCTGTGCTGCGCATTTTAAGGAAAACAGCTTCCAGAATCCCCACGAATTCAATGCCGGATTCAACAAGAAACTGTTACAAAAACATGAAGCAGTTCCAACTTTTAAACCAGAGGCAGCAGTTGTTGGGCCACAACCTGTAAGTAGGCTAAGACTTAATCAATTTAAATGTATTTGCATGTGGAAAACTTACAGACGTAATGTTTTAATTTTATCAAATGCCAGCGCTGGCTTTATAGCCACTACTAGTTAGCCTATGCTATTTTGTGTCTACGACAAACGCGTACAAACATTATGGACCTGAATTTTGAATATGTAATAATGTTGTAAATGTATTTTTCATGTATATATACTTTATGACGTTATTTTCGATTTGATCAAGAACGTAAACCAATGCCAACGCTGTTTGTATAGTAGCCAGTCAGTTCGATGCTATTTTGTGCAAGACAAACGTGTAGAAAGTAAAAAAAAATTAGGCAAATTACCATTCAGAAACGTTTTGTAAGAGCCGTGTGTGGTGAGGTTCTGCTTGACTCTCATCGCCTCTTTCTGGGTCTGTTTCTGGCTCTGATACTGCAGTATCGACACCATTATGTACATTTGACAGGAACACATGCAACTTCGCCCGTAAAGGTAATGGGCGTGAATTTTCCGGACAACGTGCACTACAGTTTAGCCAATCACAACATCGGCCAAAAACTAACCAATCAGAGCCCACTGCCCGTTTCTGAGGGAGTGGTTTCATAGAATCTGGAAGTCAATCGATCGTTCAAAGGACAGAAGAGAAAGCGGCTTACAATAAAGGTGAAATTTATGAAAAATAAGACTTTTAAAAAAAGAAAAACCACGAATACATGTTATATTGCACCCCATAAACACAATCATGCAAAGAAAAAAAGCAGTAAACCACCCCTTTAAGGACTGGACTATTAGGCTCAGAGACAGTTTCAGGTCAATCCTGTTCCTGGAGTACCCACAGCACTGCACATTTTCAAATTCAACTCATTAGCTAGTTAGTAAAAAGACTCCAAGACATCTAATGTGTTAAATAAGAGAGACATCAAAAATGGACAGTGCTGGGATACTCCAGGACCAGTGTTGGGAACGACTGACCAAGATATTTCCTATTTTAATACATCCTCACCGCAACTAGATATATAAGGTAACCTAATTTTAAAAGTGTGATTTCTAAACCAGAAAAAGAAATATATTTTTCTAAAAATGCTTAATCATTATCCAGTAAATTATGAACGATGGAAAAGTCATGCAAATTCATTGGTTGAAAAGACTGTAATTGCTGAAGAAAATTTAGCTTTTAAACCTTTAGAAATGTAATTACTTGGATTTCAATTATAATTACAAATTAAAATATTTATTTTAAATATTTTAGTCTGTAGGCACTTTTTTAATACAATTACAGCGCAATTAGCTAAACTAATAGCCTACAAAAGAGGTTTTATGTTCATATTTTCACACTCACAGAGCTTTTCTGCAGTTTCTCAGAGCAGGTAACAGTCTCCTTTGACTCTCCTTTGATGATCTGATGTTGAACTTTTTAAGGTCAAACTCATCCATCACCTCCTCTGACATCAGGATCATGTTTGCCAAAGTTGAACATTGTGCAAGAGAAAGGTTTTTGTTATATGTTTTAGATTGTAAAAATGCCTGCATTTCTTCAACAAGAGAACTATCCTTCATCTCAATCAAGCAGTGTGTCAGATTCATCCATCTTTCAGGACTGACATTGTCTTTTGGACTTTTTGCATGTTTGTGTTTTTTAAGGTTTTGGATTATTTTCTTGATGTTCTCTGGGTTGTTCTCTGTGTGAATCAGTACATCCTGTAAGAGTCTCTGGTTGGACTCCAGTGAGATGCCATGAAGGAATCGAAGGAAAAGATCCAGGTGTCCATTTTCACTCTTCAAGGCTTTATTCATTGCTCCCTTCAGAAACACATCCAGAGGAACATTCCCAGATTGGGTTCTGGACTTTCCTGTGAGGAACATTTTCAGAACTTCACTGTTCTTGTGTAAATAACAGAAAAACACATACAGTGCTGCAAAAAACTCCTGAAAGCTGAGATGTACAAAGCTGTAAACCTTCCTGTGATAAATCACAGATTCCTCCCTAAAGATCTCAGTGCAAATCCCAGAATACACTGAGGCGTCAGTGACATCTATGCCGCTCTCAATCAGGTCCTCCTCATAGAACATCACATTGCCCTTCATCAGCTGATTGAAAGCCAGTTCAGCAAGTTTCACAATCACGTCTCTGTTGGACTGCAGGAGTTTCTCTGGATCTCTCTCTTCATACTTCTGGCTCCTCATATGAGTTTGAATGAGGAGGAAGTGTATGTACATTTCAGTCAGAGTTTGAGGGATTTCTGCACTCAGATCTTGTTTCAGGATGTTTTGAAGCACAGTGGCTGAGATCCAGCAGAAGACGGGTATGTGACACATGATGTGGAGGCTTCTTGCTCTTCTGATGTGAGAGATGATTCTGCTGGCTTGATCCTCATCACTGATTCTCTTCCTGAAATATTCCTCCTTCTGAGGCTCATTGAATCCCTGAATTTCTGTCACACGGTTGATGTATTTGGAGGGGATCTGATTGGCTGCTGCTGGTCTGGTGGTGATCCAGATGAGAGCTGAGGGAAGCAGATCTCCTTTCATGAGGTTTGACATCAACACACCCACTGATGAAGACTCAGTCACATCAGAAACTTTCTCACTGTCTGAAAACTTCAGTGTCAATCTGCTTTCATCCAGACCATCAAAGATGAACACAACTGAACATTCATCATACATCTCTGAGTCCAGATCTCGAAGTTCAGGATGAAAGTCCAGCAGAAGTCTGTGAAGACTGTATTGATGATCTTTAATCAAGTTCAGCTCTCTAAATGGAAGCACAAACATGAAATCTACATCCTGATTGGCTTTTCCCTCGGCCCAGTCCAGAATGAACTTCTGCACAGAGACGGTTTTCCCGATTCCAGCGATGCCTTTAGTAAGAACAGTCTTGATTTTGTCTTTCTTCTCTCTTCTCTTCTCCTCATATCCTGGTTCAGGTGAAGGATCAAAGATGTCATTGCAGTTGATTGGAGTGTCTTGGAGTGTCTTGTAACTTTTCTCCATCTGTCGCACCTCATGTTCTTCATTCACTCCTTCACTCTCTCCCTCTATGATGTACAGCTGTGTGTAAATCCTGTCCAGGAGAGTCTGATTCTCTTGTAGTTTGATTCCCTCAAATAATCTCTCATATCTGTTCTTCATGCTGGTTTTGTGCTGGTCTTTGACTCTCTGCAGATCATCATGCACTGGCTGGTGAGAATCGAGCTGCAGTGCTGCTTCTGTGTCATGATGACTGATGTGTTTCTGACAGGACACATCTCTGATCTGCTCAGCTCTCCCACCACTGGAAACACATTAAGATGAACAGAGACACAAAAAGCTTTGTTAAAATAAAGAAAATATTTAAATATGTCTAATATGAAAATCATACCATATGTAGAAATAAGTGTTGGATCTTTCCAAAAGATTTCTATTGTGGCCAACTGACTGCCTAATGTACGACATGGAGATTCTCAAAGTTCTCACACAGATTTTGAATACCCATGTTTCTAAACAAACAGCAAATTATGCACATCAGACATTTAAGGGCAGATAATTATCTGCATATTAAAAGTAAAGAGACATCAATATTTCAGTAGTAAAAATGTAAAATACAAAAAGAATTTAAAAAAAAGAGAAAGAAGGCTAAAATTCTCAAGAAGTCCTTGCTGTAGCCTGTAGCATGATCACATAGTGGATCAGGTACTGGATTTTGTTACACTCATGCGTGGTGGTGTGTTTTGGTGACTTCATATGCATCGACAATAGAATTGGTGAACATCTTTTTGCATCCATTTTGTTTTGTGGCTCATTTCTCATTGATGTTTAACTCTATCTAATCGCTGGTATTATGTTTTTTAGTTCATATATCCATCCATCCATCTTCTTCCAGGCATCCGGAACAGATGCCCAAGCCACTTCAGCTGACCCCTCTCGATGTGGAGGAGCAGTGGCGTTACTCTGAGCTCCTCCCGAGTGACCGAGCTTCTCACCCTATCTCTGAGGGATTACCTGCAAATTTTACTGGAAGCACATCTTGTTTCATTGGACTGGATATCTCAACATTGAAGTAAGTAAAACAACAGAAATATTTTTTTGTCATTGTTAGAATGTCTAGTTCATGTAAATTCTTGGTTATTGTGGAATGCATACGCCAAATTAGATTTTTAGCTTGTTATGTCTTTGTTGTAATTTTACAACGTTGGGATAGAATGGTAGTCAAAATAGCATGCGCACCTTGCACATTACATGGAGACATTGCACTTCTCAAATGTTCACATACAGGAGAAATATTTAAAGAAATATGATGTATTTGATTATTCATAATATCTAATAAATGTGTTATTTGTTATAATTTTCAGTTTAGATCTGATCTGAATAATTTTAAATGAATAAATTAATTATTTATGGTTGGAGTTTCCTGTCAATGCCAGTACTTGAAATTGTTTCTGTATGTTAGCAGTTCTTTTTTTTTTATCTTTGTTTGTTTGCCCAAATATCTGCTTGTAGCAAGGCAGACAGTGTTTGTAGACTGCTGTGTAGGATGGTTATTCAAGGTGTGGATGTCCAGACATAGGGGGTTGCATTCTGGAATGTGGGGATGTAAGAGGTCTGGGGGTTTTGTATATTCTTTTTAGAATTGTGTGACTTCAGTAGGGCTGGGACAGTATGGATTTTTTAACCATGTTGGAAAAATTATAAATAGCCCATCCCAGCATCTCTAATTCGAAAGGAATATTATTAGGCATCGGCTCCCCAACTCGCGAAAGGTCTGATCTGCTCCATTTTTTGATAAGTTTTGGTTAAACAACCTTGAATCCATGTAAGACACAGTGTCATTAGAGATAATCCATGTCATTTGAATCAATGAATCCATGTCATTAGACACAACGTGCACACATGGGCAGGCCAATGTTTTTTTTTTTTGCGGTGATGACGTGATGAGCTCAGACCCGCGGTAGGCGTCAGGTGACTGCAGTATTGCTGTAACTGTCCCAGCCCTAGACTTCAGTGGAATGTATCACATAAATAGGATTCGTTTTCTTTAAAATTATTTATACTTGAACATACTCTAACTCTTACAACTATTATCTTCATTTCAGAAAGGACACTGCACACACTGCAAAAAAGGATATTCGAATATGCTCTGCAAGAAGTGCAATCTCCGTCTCTGCTTTTCAGAGGAAAGGAACTGCTTTTAGGATTAAAACTATTGCAAGTGAACACTGGACACTGTTTATGTGACAGATTTCAATCGGTTTTGCATTTAATATTTATATTTTATGTTTATTTTTAATAAATTCTAAATAATAAAAATATGACTGTCAGATGATTATTATTATTATTATTCATATTATTTACTGTTCTGGTGCTATGTAAGCAATCCACACTTCAAATAAGCCCTTAGTTGTTCTGTATATTTGTTCTGCTCCCCCATAGGCCCAACATTGCAATATTACAACATTTCCTTAAAAACTTACTAAAACATAATTTTTTTTAAATCCTTCATTATTTGCATCAGAGGCCTCCTACAACAACATCTGATAGGTGAAAACATTTTTTTTCTTGTTTTTTCTATATTTGGGTCTTACAGGGCTAAACAAGAAGTCTGAGTACTAACGCTTATTACAGGCATAACGTAGCATTACGTAGCTGTGTGTGTGTGTGTGTGTGTGTGTGTGTGTGTGACAAATGCAGCGCGTGTGAGAGCAAACCGCAACTTCAGGTGTTTTTGTCATTTAGGAATAAGATGGCGTGGGTGTTTGATTCGAAATCTTTTAAAGATTAATCATGCAGCTCTACACTCTTTCTCTCTCTCTCTCGCCTTGAGGTGAGACGCTAAATATAATCTGAAGTTACTCCCAGCACTTCGCCCACATATCGCAACAGAACCATTTTCGGAACCAAAACTTAGGAATTTTGCACGGTTCCGGTTATTTTTTTTAGAAACACTACCGGTTCTGGATAAGAACCGGTTCTCGGTTCCCAACCCTAGCCTCACCGAACTCCTCCCAGGCCCGAGTTTTTGCCTCCACAACCACCCGGGCCGCAGTCCGCTTGGCCTGTCGGTACCTGTCAGCTGCCTCCGGAGTCCCACAAGCCAACCAGGCTCGATAGGACTCCTTCTTCAGCTTGACGGAATCCTTTACTTCCGGTGACCGGGTTCGGGGATTGCTGCCTTGACAGGCACCGGAGACCTTACGGCCACAGCTCCGAGCAGCCGCTTCGACAATGGAGGTGGAGAACATGGACCACTCAGACTCAATATCTCCAGCCTCCCTCAGAATCTGGTCGTAGCTCTGCCGGAGGAGATTTCTCTCAGGAGATCTCTGACAGGAGATTCAGCTAAACGTTCCCAGCGAACCCTTACAGTACGCTTGGGTCTGCCGAGTCTGTCCAGCCTCCTCCCCCGCCATCGGATCCAACTCACCACCAGGTGGTGATCAGTTGACAGCTCCGCCCCTCTCTTCACCCGAGTGTCCAAGACATACGGCTGCAGGTCAGATGAAACGACCACAAAGTCGATCATCGACCTACGACCTAGGGTGTCCTGGTGCCACGTGCACTGGTGGACACCCTTATGCTTGAACATGGTGTTCATTATGGACAAACTGTAACTAGCACAGAAGTCCAATAACTGAACACCACTCTGGTTCAGGTCGGGGGGGCCGTTCCTCCCAATCACGCCCCTCCAGGTGTCACTGTCGTTGCCCACGTGAGCATTGAAGTCCCCCAGTAGAACGACGGAGTCCCCAGTCGGAGCACTTTCCAGCACTCCTCCCAGAGACCCCAAGAAGGCTGGGTACTCTGCACTGCCGTTCGGCCCGTAGGCACACACGACAATGAGAGACCTATCCCTGACCCGTAGGCGCAGGGAAACGACCCTCTCGTTCCCCGGGGTAAACTCCAACACATGACGGCTGAGCTGGGGGGCTATAACCCACACCAGCCCGCCGCCTCTCACCATGGGCAACTCCAGAGTGGTGAAGAGTCCATCCTCTCTTAAGGAGTGTGGTTCCAGAGCTCAAGCCATGTGTAGAGGTGATCCCGACTATCTCTAGTTGGAACCTCTCAACCTCGCACAATCTCTGGCTCCTTCCCCGCCAGCGAGGTGACGTTCCACGTCCCTAAGGCTAGTTTCCGTGTCCAGGGATCGGGTCGCCGAGGCCCCTGCCTTCGACTGCCGGCCGATCCTCTCTGCACCGGCCCCTTACGGCTCCTGCAGGTGGTGAGCCCACAGGAAGGCAACTTCACGTCGCTCCGTCGGGCTGAGCCCGGCCGGACCCCGTGGGGAGAGGCCCGGCCACCAGGCGCTCGCATACGAGCCCCAACCCCGGGCCTGGCTCGGATGAGTGGCTCCAGGGGCCCTGGCTGTGGCATACCGGGCGACATAACGGTCCTTGAATCTATTTCTTTCTAAGGGGTTTTTGAATTGTTGAGTTGAGTTCATATATACAATTGTTAAAACAATGATAAATGAGCCAAACATTTGTTAGGGGTTGTTCCACCCTAGTTTTTTTGTTTGTTTATTAGCAGTTCATTATTATTTTTTAGTCCATTTTTGTTTTTATTGTTGTTGTGGTTCAAATGCTTTGTAGAATACTTGCACAGCAACTACATCCTGGGCAGTGGAAAGAGTATGGACGTGATGATCTCAACGTATGCGGTTTTCTTGTTGCCATCACTAATTCACTAACATTTTAGATATTCATAATCACTAACATTTTAGATATTGAACCACATGGTTAATTTTTGAATAATTATAACATATTTATTTCAATTTATTTCATTCCAAGGCATGTTGATGGTAGGAAGAAACGTTTGATAACAATTTTTTTTTTTGATGGCTTTATCAGATTGTCATTAATTTATTTTTTTAGTTTGAGCAAAAACCATATCCAACAAACTTATTTATGCAATCTCCCAAAGCAATTTAATTAAGTTAATTACTATTGTTCATGTCTTTTTTGATGTAACTTGCTAATAATTATACAGTACACACTCGCTGTTTTAATGGAAGATCTCTTTGATTTTGTTGAGGTGAGCTATCAAAACTAATAATTTGGGAAAAATTATATTCTCAAAGTGTGATTGAGATTTACATTAAACATATTTTCCAGTCTGACATGGCTGCAGCATGGTGGTGCTTGCTCCTGCTAGAAAATCATCCTGTGAAGTAAGCCTATTTGCAAGTACTTCCAATAAATAAAACATATTTATTAGTAGTACACTGAGAAAAAACGATGAGTAAAACGTACTTAATTAAAAAAAAAAAATTGCAGATATTTTTTGAGTAAATTTCACACATAGAATTAAGAAAACTATACTTAACTAAGTTAAGTGAAAGTAACATAAGAAATTAAGTAATTTATATTTAATTAAAGGTTAAGTAATATCTATTTAATTTAAATTTCTTTGTACAACATTTCACTCAAACAATATAACATTGAATTAGACCACACTTTTTTTAAGTATATGATTTACTCAGATATGTTTAAGTAAACAATACATATAGTGTGTGTCCCCGTATCTTCATTTCTGAAGTTCTATGTGTGAACGCAGACCTCAATACTTGGTAGACAATACACAATGACGGTCACATTTGTTGGATTGTTTTTGTGTTTGAATGTGTCATTTTAAGTAGAAAATGGACTCCAAATGTCACAAAATGGCAAGTTTATAATCCTAACAACAAAAGCAATGATAAAATAGTGTAAATACATATGGAAAACAGTGAAAAATAAACCTCATTAATTATTCATGGCCCAGTGCATGATGGGAACACCAGTATCAGAAAAGTTGTGTACTGGTAATTTTACTTAATTTTATAATGTTGATATTTTACATTTTACACTTTCCTTTCTACAAGGTTGAATTGAGTACTATTCTAGAATTTACTTTTTTTTTTTTTTATTCTTGCCTGAACTAACTTTTTTCAAAAGTTAAATTACAGTAATTAAGTAAAATTACATTGTTTTTTTCTGTAGTATTTACTTCACCACAAAATCATTTTTATCAGAATTAGCAGTTTTTTATCCTCTCTTTAATAATGTTAATTTGCACAGTATTTGGTAATTTATGGTGATTTTTCCCCCTGTGTGGAATAAAATTAGCCTGACTTCGTCATACTCATATTCTGGCCAGAATGTGAGTCTGAAACTCGAGTGTTGCTAATTTTACTTGGTCCTCCATGAGTGCGACCAAAAGAGAAACCACAACGACCACAGGCTTTTCATTGCGTCCCATCTTTTTAGCCACCGTCAGAGCCAGCTGATAAGTTACACTTTTCCCGAATCATGTAGGAAGGACGGCAAAAATATCTTTCCGATCGACAAATGCCTTGATTGCAGTTTTCTGTTTGTCTATTAAAATTAATGCGCTCATCTCAATTCTCCAGCTGCAGTCATGAGGGAAACCAGTTAAGCGCTCTTGGATAACATGATGATTACGTCCCTGCAGATCATCTGTCCATCATCGTATAAAGCCCACCCTGGCAATTTGATTGGCCCGATCATTTTTTGACTGATCATAATTTCTCCTCAATGGATCGAGTCCAGACCGAACTTCCCGACCAAAAAATGTTGTGGGCGGAGTTCGGGCTGGCATCCAGGCTAGAGTAAAATATTGAAAATGGTATAATTTAAGATCAGATGCTGAAAGAAAGCTACTCAGAAAATGGCACAAAGAAATGACGACAGGTATAACTTTAACTAAAATAGGTCAAATGTTCAAGTTCCATTTACCATTAAAGGGTTAGTTCACCCAACAATGAAAATTAAGTCATTAATTACTCACCCCCATGCTGTACCAACCCCGTAAGACCTTCGTTCATCTTCAGAACACAAATGAAGATATTTTTGATTAAATTTGAGAGCTGTATAACTACCACATAGGCTCCTAAGGGAATGACACTTGACGGCCCAGAAAGTCAATGAAGAAAATGTTTAAATATTCCATGTGACTACAGTGGCTCAACTAATAAGTCTATCAAGCGACGAGAATACTTTTTGTGTGAAAAAACAAACAAAAATAACGACTTTATTCGACTATTCCTTTTCTTCCTTGTTGGCCTGAAACGAGACTTCAAGAGTTTTCCACGACGCATGCGCGAGAACTGAACTGAAGTAGTTGAAGGAGATCACAATTCTCGCGCATGCGTCGTGGAAATCTAAGGAAGTCTCGTTTCAGGCCACAAAAAGTAGTCTCGTCGCTTGATAAACTTATAGTTGAGCCACTGTCGGCACATGGAATATTTAAACATTTTCTTCATTGACTTTCTGGGCCAACAAGAGTCATTCCCTTAGGAGCCTGCCTGCCTGCCTTCATTCCTTCCTTCCTTCCTTCCTTCCTTCCTTCCTTCATTCCTTCCTTCCTTTCTTCCTTCCTTCCTTCCTTCCTTCCTTCCTTCCTTCCTTCCTTCCTTCCTTCCTATCCAGTAAGTATTGGATCTGATCCAGCTACGTCATTGCGCTGCAAGCTGCAGCGAGGAGTGTCTCAAAATTCTTCAAGTAAGTAAGTTTTACCAGAAACCATTATTTTAAAATATCACAGAAACACTGACATGAAGAAAAAGTGAAATGGCAATTTAATCGACTGATGCGACTGATGACGGATGATAAATAAATCAACAGTAACTCTGAAGAATCGATCAAATTAGGTATATTTTCCTGGAGCGAAAGGCACAATAATTAACATGATAATAAACAGCTGGCTTACTTTTCCATTTGTTGACATGACAGTTTGATTCAGATGGTAAATATCATATATTAAGTTGAGTGTCCACCTTTGAGATATCACCATATTTATAATGAAACCATCATATTTAAAAAAATGTTAAATGTTAAAAATTATATCATATATGATCACAATAATATCACAATAATTGTTACTACTGTAAAGCCCTCAAAGCTTTCAGAATATTTAATTTTTAAATATTTTTTTCTGTTTCAATGACAGTATTTTTATTAAAGGAACACATTAAATTTTTGGGACTTTAGCTTATTCACCGTATCCCCCAGAGTTAGATAAGTCTATACATACCCTTCTCATCTCCATGCGTGCTGTAACTCTGTTTGACCCACCGCTAGCCTAGCTTAGCACAAAGACTGGAAGTAAATGGCTTCAGCTAGCATACTGCTCCCAATAAGTGACAAAATAACGCCAACATTTTCCTATTTATATGTTGTGATTTGTATAGTCACAGTGTGTACAAATAACAAGGTCATATGAGACACAGCCATCTTTTAACCGCATACATCCTGGGAACTATATTCTCAGAAGGCGAAGCACTGCTACTTGGGCGGAGGCTGAGGTTGATGAGACTAACTAGTTATCTGGATTTCAAGACTATCATCTATAGATACGTTCAATTTGGATACATTTTTTACATAGCCTTTTTGCTCTTTTATTTTAACAACTATTTGTGCAACCATACACACACTTGTTTTTGTCTTTATGCGTGTTATTGACAGTTTTTAGGGGGATGAACCAATATAATATCTTGACTGCCCAGACAGCCCTGAACTTCATGATACTCACGCAGGGTCAGAGGTGACAGCAGGTCCATCACTGAGATTAGGGGGTTCACGCAAGGAGATGTTACTCTTCATGGACACACAGCTGGATCCTGGAGATGGTCCATCACTCAGATTTGGGGGTTCACGCAAGGAGATGTTACTCTTCATGGACACACAGCTGGATCCTGGAGATGGTCCATCACTGAGATTTGGGGGTTCATGCATGGAGATGTTACTCTTCATGGACACACAGCTGGATACTGAAGATGGTCCATCACTGAGATTAGGGGGTTCACGCAAGGAGATGTTACTCTTCATGGACACACAGCTGGATCCTGGAGATGGTCCATCACTGAGATCAGGGGGTTCACGCATAGAGATGTTACTCTTCATGGACACACAGCTGGATCCTGGAGATGGTCCATCACTGAATTTAGGGGTTCACGCAAGGAGATGTTAGTCTTCATGGACAGACAGCTGGATCCTGGAGATGGTCCATCACTGAGATCAGGGGGTTCACGCATAGAGATGTTACTCTTCATGGACACACAGCTGGATCCTGGAGATGCTGCTCTCTGAGTGTGAACAGACACCTCCTCCTCTCTCTCCTCACACATACTCATTTTACAGGTAGGCCTACGGTTCTCCTCCTCTCTCTCCTCACACACACTCATTTTAGAGGTACTGTTCTCCTCCTCCTTGATGTGACACTTTACTTAAAGGCCTGTGTGTGGACACAGAGGACATGCACAAAATACAATTGATTTTTAAAACATGGCATTTAATTCATTTTAACTTAAAGTAAAAAAAAAAATCTCCAGTTAATGGTGTTTGTTAAGATTAACATGTCAGCCACAGTTTCAAACGCAGTTTAAACACTGGACCTTCAATTTGACACTGCTGAACTCTTACAGGTATTTTCACAATCCGTTTTTTCTTACATTTAATGGTTTACCTTTACTTTATTCAATGCAGAACTGGCTCTAGTTGTTACGTTAACTGGAACTGGAAATACAGATTAGACCTTCTCGTAGACTCGTAATAGCCTACAAATGCAAAATTTTAATAATGCGATGTGCAATACAGTTTTGTAACTCCACTGTGTTTGTTTTCAGAAATGATAACAGTCGTTCTCTTACGAGAGGTTCTCTCGTATTGCGTAAGCTAGCTTACGCTACGGGAAAGATTAATCTTTTCTGAGAAGTTGAAGCCAAAAAATTATCCTTTAATTTTGTATCCATTGTCAACGCAGTTCACTGCAGCAGACCATGAGCGGGCTAGCTAGCAGCTCATAGGTTCGCTCAGGGAGAACTGCTACAGCCTATGAGGGAACTCGGTTGAACTCGTGGCCAATGAGAAGCAGACACGCTCTCATTGCGTCAAAGCCCGCCAAACGGCGTGGCCCGAGTCTATAAATAGGCGAGTTTCCCGCTGTTTTCCGATTTTCATCTATTCAGCGAGGCTATACGCACCTGCTGATCTCCGAGAGGAAGCTGCGTCGCCGTGGGGAAGGCATCTCTTAGCGAGCGTGGACAGAGTCTGAGGAAGCCGGTCGTCTTCGCCACCTTCAGCCATCCTGTGAGCTAACGCCATCCGGCGATGTATCCTTACATTTGTATTTTGCTTGTGTAACTTCACAAAAGAGCAGCGAGCGTCTTTTTAAAGATGCCTCGCACACATCCCCTCTAAGCGCCGGACTCCTGCGCTGTATGAGGGACGAGCCGCTTAGCTTGTGTCTTTACTGCTGTGGCTCAGTGGTAAAACATAAAGTTTTTCGCGCCAGAGACCCGTGTTCGATTCCGGCTCTCGCAGATAATGTTATGCAGCTCTGAGCTCACGGCGAGCTTTCTTACGTTACAGAAAGCGGCCGCACTCTCCCGCGCACATGCGTCAGTGGCGACATGAGAAACGAGTGTGTTTTTAGCCCGCCGAGGCCGGTTAACACCCATCTCTCTAACGTTTCTCTTTCCTCGTTCGAGCGGCCGTAAACGCCCCCCCCCCATGCATAACTTCACCGAAAATGGGTTTATGGTGTGTTCGTTCCGCCGAGGCTGGACCTGTTCGCCACTATCACGCCCTCTGCTAGCGCTAGTCAGCTTGTGTCTTTACTGGTGTGGCTCTGTGGTAAAACACACAGCTTTTCGCGCCAGCGACCCGTGTTCGATTCCGGCTCTCGCAGATAACTTTATGCAGCTCTGAGCTCGCGGCCAACTTTCTTACGTTACAGAAAGCGGCCGCGCTCTCCCGCGCATATGCGTCAGCGGCGACATGAGAAACGAGTGTGTTTTTAACCCGCCGAGGCCGGCTAGCACCCATCTCTCTATCGTTTCTCATTCCTTGTTCGAGCGGCCGAAAATGTCTATATTGCAGCAACGAGCCCGTCATAACATGAACGCCTGCAATAACGCCAACAGATTTAGATTGACGCTATTTCTGTTCAAGTGTAATAGGTGCCCACACCCATGTGCTCACCCATATTAAAACACAGCATTCCCGTGTCTAACAGAGCCCACTCTCTTAGCTGGCTATGCTGCTAGAGTGTTATCTGTAACAGATGTGCCCACAACTGTGCTCACATCTTTCTGCCCGCATCCCAGCCTCTTCAGTCTCGTGCCCACTTGCAGCGCTCACGTTTCTACATGCGCGCGTCACAAGTGCAGCCCTTCAGGCTATGTATAGCCTTCTGCCGCCTACAACGCTCACGCACTTGCGCTCGCGTCACTTGTGCAGCCTGTATCAAATCAAAATGCATTTGATAGATGCAAATGCACCTGCTAAAATGCAAAATGCACCTGTTAAAATGCAATCAGGCATAAGTGCATAATGTCTGTAAAGTGCAAAAGGTCTGCGATAAGTAGTATATGTGCCCACAGCTCAGTGTTCACTCCTACACACAAACACCACACCCGTGCCCGCGACCACGCTCGCTTATCACACCGTGACTCGCTCCCCATTTACGTTATCGGGAAGTCACTCACTAAACAGCCATTGGCTGTCCGCGAGCCGTCACGCACAAGCACGGTAAGCGCACTCACACACTTGTACAGCCCACTATGTGTATATCCACATACAGTACATGTGTATGTATACACACACCTTTTGTGTAGAATATGTGCCCACAATCCTGTGTTCGCCCATACACAAAAGCACCACACTCCCCGTGCCTCTGTCAGAGCCCACTCTCATAAAGCGGACACTGCCCGATCGAGTGTCAGAGTTCATAAGCGCGCCCACGAGCCGTGCATGCGTCCCTCTGCATAAAGCCTCTTGTGTAGAAAAATGTGCCCACAATCCAGTGTTCACCCATACACAAAAGCACCACATGTCCCGTGTCTCTCTCAGAGCCCACTCCCATAGAGCGGACACAGCCCGCTCAAGTGTCAGAGTGCAGAAGCCCCCCCTCTGCCCGCTCTCTTACACAGCCCATAAACTCCTCTCTGAGTGTAAGTCCCGTTGCCGGAAACATTCTAGCGTGCCCACACACTGTGTCCAGCCCGCTATGTGCAACAATCAGGGCGACATAGCCATTCACCCGCTAGCATCGCGCTTCTAGCATGGGAAGCTATTCCGGGAATCTCCCCATGGGTGCCAAGCACAATAGAATACGGCTATCTGTTACAGTTCCGTCGCCGCCCTCCACGCTTTCGGGCGCGGCTCGAAACCACAGTGAGTTCAGAAGCAGCAAACACGCTTCGCTCAGAGATAGAGAAGCTTTTGTGCCAAAAGGCTATAGAGAGAGAGTTCCGCCTTCTATGAGCGAGTCTGGGTTTTACGGCCGTTATTTTCTTGTCCCCAAGAAAGACGGCGGCCTCAGACCGATCCTAGATCAATACACAGTCCTCCCGTTCGGCCTATCTTTAGCACCCCGTATGTTCACGAAGTGCATGGATACGGTGCTCAACCCCCTGCGGAGTCAGGGGCTGCGAATTTTGAATAATTTGGACGACTGGCTGATTTTGGCACAATCACGGACGGAGCTACTGTCTCATCGTACAGTTCTCCTCGACCATCTGAACACCTTGGGTCTCTCTGTCTGCACAAAGAGCTTGCTTCAGCCCAGTCAGACGATTTCCTTCCTGGGAATAGATCTAGACTCAGTGGCTATGACGGCTCGCTTATCTACACAGCGCGCGCGCCGTGTTCAGCGTCTCGCTGCATCCTGTCAGATGGACACCCTCACGCCTCTGAATACTTTTTAGAAGGAGCTGGGTTACATGGCCTCAGCCTCCGCAGTGCTTCCGCTGGGTCTACTGCGCATGCGCCCCCTTCAGCTTTGGTTGAAGAGCCGTGTGTCTCACCGTGCGTGGACCACGGGCCACCAGCTGATCAAAGTTACGCAGACCTGTATCTCAGCTCTGCAGCCATGGACAGTGGCAGAATGGTTTCAGCGGGGCGTTACCATGGGGACCGTCTCTCGCCGAAAAGTCATTTCGACAGACACATCCAACTCAGGTTGGGGTGCGGTCTGCGAGGGCTCACCGGGCGGCATCTGGCCACTGGTCAGTTCAAGAGAGCTCCCTACACATAAACTGTCTGGAGAGGATTGCGGTCGAGAACGCGCTCACGTTTCTCCTCCCGCGCATTCGGGGTCACCACGTATTGATCCGCTCGGACAATGCGGGCATAGTCTCCTATCTCAACCGTCAGGGCGGTGTCAGATCCAGGAACCTCTTCTTGCTTCCCTCATAGGCTGTAGCAGTTCTCCCTGAGCGAACCTATGAGCTGCTAGCTAGCCCACTCATGGTCTGCTGCAGTGAACTGCGTTGACAATCGATACAAAATTAAAGGATAATTTGTTGGCTTCAACTTCTCAGAAAAGATTAATCTTTCCCGCAATACTCGTTTCCTCATCTAGAGAGAACCGAGGTTACGTTAGGTAACGGATTCGTTTTATAATAGTGCTTATGCGATAACACGATTTTTGATGATCTTCTGCACTTTTTCTGAGCACGGGGAAGCGAGGGGAAGGCGGGGGGGGGGGGGGGGTATGTGGCTTAGCCCCACATACTTTATTTAGAAGCAATTAAAATGCCTAGTTCATTTTAAAGACATAGCCTTATTATTAGCCTGTTTTTGCGGTGAGATTTAATCCTATTCTTCTATGCACCCCGAATTTAAGCAGAAATTAATGTGCAATTTAGTCAACCAGAAAAAAATTTTGTACAAGTCCAATCAATACATTTACTATTTAATTAGTTACAAGTATCAAGTTATTTATATTTAATTTGTTGAGTTAACAATTAGTTCTGATTTAATAAAATAATAAACATGATTTTTTTTTAAATGAAAATGATTAAAATTTTAAAAATGATTAAAATAAAAATGATTGTTTAATTTTTAAAAAATGCATGGTGTCATTTGTCCTAGTCTAGCATAAAGGTATAGTTTATATGTTCTATATTTTGCTTGCTAGCCCACCCTGGCTGTCGATAAAGCAGGATTATAGCCTATAATAATGTTTTTAATATTATATTAAAATTAGACCTTCAGATTAAACCCGTGGTATACTAAAACAACATTGAAGTTTTGTTGATATGCTGGGATTTCAACATTTGTAATCGAAACACCATTGAAATTCTGTTGATCTGGGTATGATTTAAACGTTGTTTGAATGATAATAGAGGGTGCAACATGATGAAGAATCAACATCAGAGTTCGACGTTGGTTCAATGACTTTTTCGTTGACAGCGCGATGTTGATTTAACACCATTTCAATAACTATTTGCTATGTGTTACTGCGTAATTATAAAATTAATTAAATAGCCTACGTATCGCCAACCGAAGATCTAAGCATTATATTCTCCTGTTAAAGGAAAAACTACGTGTATCCATTTTGTTACAGTTGACGTGAAGTAGGCCTATAACCAAAGTAACTTCAACTTCGTCATGTATTTCGAGTTTGATTTCGTCATAATTTATTTTTAAACACAAACCGCTATCGATATAGCTATGAAAAATGTAAGGAACTTACCTGTCACATGTGAATCGATTGCTGATTTTCTATCTCCCGAAATGGCGTCTTCACAGTAATCGGCTGCTTTCGGTTTCACTCTGTGAGACAGGTAGGCTAAAGGTAAATAAAGCAGCTCCTCCTCGAATGGATTCTTTTCACACTTCCGGGTTTGGAACGAGGAAAAAAAGTACAGGGCCAAATGCGAGACCATAAAAAAAAAATGTTTTCGTTCCCACTGTACTATTTTTATAGAAAGAGAAAGGTTTGAAAGAACATTTGGGGATTAATCTGTTAATATACACAAACAAAAATGAACATGCTGTTATGTAACTTCTCCATATCAGTCATGCAGTCAGCTGAATAGTCACTCTTCCAACAGACAACTGAAATATATGTAAAAATTAAAGAGAATAAAATAAACAAAAAGGGTCACGTCTCTATATAATTCTCTAGCGTCTTCTGTCAACAAAATCATTAAGTTTGGTATTAGCTAAACGTCCATTTGAAATGGTTCATGTAAAATTGTAAACCTTCATGAATGGATGTATTTTGTGATGGGAGGAGCAATAACAGATCGACACAGTGGGTGTGATACATCTATGATTATCTCAGCTACACAGATGCATTTTACTTTTTGCAAATGATACATTATTATAAGGAAAAATGTGAAAACACGAGGGAAATCATTGTTGTGTAAGCACAAAGCTTACGCATTTACCCAAATTATTGTATGCATGTTCAACCAAAGCTAATTTGGGTGGGTCTAATTCTTCTCTTCTCTTTCTTTTACGGCCCTGACGAGAACATCGATCTCCACGGCTGTGGACCGATTGAAGCGCGTCTGCTAAATGCGCCGTTATAATAGTAGGCCTATTGCACCATGGAACAAGCTCACCTTGTTCATCGTGCTCTTAAAGGGATTGTGATATGACGCTCTGATTGGTTATTTCCGTTACGCCCAAACCACACCTATGAATAATGAAGCTACTTCAGACCAACCCCTTTTAAACTTGCGCCGGGCACAAGAGTTTTTCTATCCCGCCAGTAAAATAGCAAAAGCGACCGAGACCCGGCCACAAAGTTACTTGCGCTTCGTGCTTGATACTTCCGTTTCAGATCGTTAAAATAGGGCCCTTAATTTCTCTAACACACACTAACTTACAGTCAACTTTATCTAATCTAAATTAACTCCTTAGGTCTTAACTGACCTTGAGGACCCAGATCTAGGTTGCTCTCAAGGGGGTAATCCATCGACCGGAAGTTGAAGCCTCGCGGGAGCTGCCATCTTGTAGGAGAACTTCACTTGCGTTAGCATTCCCATTGACTCCCATTCATTTTGGCGTTACTTTGACAGCGAATAACTTTACATCTGAGACGTTTGGAGACCCCATTTGTCCTTTATTTATTTCTAAAGAAACACGACAATGTATAAAATGCTCCATTACCTTGTAGCTTATGTTATGGCCCCGTAGAAGCAGTTTTAGTGAAAGTAGGCTAACGATTGCGTCATACCCACGCGACTCTCTGTCGCACAGTAGAGAGATTACCGTATGGACATGAGAAGAAGCTCGCACGCAATCGGGGAAACGTGGAGGCAAAATGACAAAAATAATTAATCAGAATACCTAGCAGAATTGTCTCCTTCTCCTCGCTCATGGACAGCTCCTATTCACACTCTCCGCCTCTGCATGTTTCGGAAGGGAATGATTCAGATTTCTAATGCCACAGCACTAGAAGACAGACGGGTTGCTCTTGTCACATCTACGTAGTCAAGCTCTGTTTGAGTCTGCGTGTCAGGGACGGAAGTGCTAAAAAAAATCACCAAAAACGGGCTTCAATCGTCTCAATGGAGTTCCAATGAGATCGCTCTGTCCATTTCTTGTACTGTATGGTTGCTCTGCATTTTGATTATCAGGACTTTGTGTAGGGGTGTCAACATTCTCTGGCAAAATTCTCTAGGGTGGCAGTGGCTCAGTGGTTCATGTAGGTTGTCTACAAACCGAAAGGTTGGTGGTTCAATCCCCGGTTCCACCTGACCAAGTGTCGAGGTGTCCATGAGCAAGACACCTAACCCCAGCTGCTCCCGACCAGCTGGATGGTGCCTTGTATGGCTGACACTGCCATCAGTGTATGAATGAATGGGTGAATGTGAGGCAATATGTAAAGTGTTTTGGTGGCCATTAGGTCTATGAAAGCGCTATATAAATGCAGTCCATTTACCATTCTTCAAAGCTCTTCTTCTGTCTTTTTTTAGCATCTCTCCATGTCTTTCGCTTATATCGTTAGTCTATCACTCAGATTTTTGTTAAAGCAATTGTGTTGCATTATTATGCAAAGGCACCTGGTTATATTAATTCACAGCATTAAAATGCATTTTGTGATTTCCTTCAATTGGAAATCTTTGAAGCAAGTTTGGGGGACTTGAAGGGCACCCAATTCAGAGAATCACCCATGTCATTTTACCACATTAAACACATTTGGACATTTAACATGTCAAAAGAAGGGGAATAAATGGCGATACAAGTGTTCAAAATAAATCAAGTGGTACTTGTCAAACGTCGTCCAAATCTGGACGTCTAATAGGGTGGTGCAGAAATGAATCGCATTTTAGGCCACAATGTGGTTCCACAAGTCAATGTTTTTTTTTTTTTTTTTTTTTAATGGGATTTTTGTTAAATAGCTGAAATAAGGTCAGTGTTGAACACAAGCTCAAGACACTAACTTTTTTATTCTACGACATAAAATACATCACTAACCCCATTTTCTAAGCTGTGGCTAAATGTGACTAGTCTGTCGAGGAGATTTAAAGTCATCACGCTGAACTGGTAAACTCAGTCCACTTTTACGGCATTGTTGGTTATAATTGTGCTCTTACAAACTATTCTAACTCTGACGTTCTGGGAAAATGTTTATAGATAACAACTGAAAGAGTTGTTGGAAGCTTAGTGATGGTGACATTGAAGTCGTGGGACCAGACCAGTTCATTTAGCATACCTTTAGCGTTTTACTTCTGGCAGCTGCATTCAGGCTTCGCAATGCATAAAAGTTGTGTTCATCTATGATAATTATCTTGATGGGCAGTTATCTGAGCCCGTTCTCATCCCAAAGCGCCATATACGACACTTTTGCAAAAGCGTAAATATCCAACGCACATGGCACCCTTTAACTTCAAATGAGACGCAGATATATTTGGGCAGAAGGCGCCCCCTAGTGGTCTAACCCTAACCCTACACCATACCTAAACTTAACCATAACCAAAGCGTCTCATTAGACGTTAAAGGGTGCCATGTGCGTTGGATATTTACGCTTTTGCAAAAGCGTCGTATATGGCGCTTTGGGATGAGAATGCGTTGGTTATCTTGATTATACCCAGCTAACAAAAAGAAGTTGGCAGAACGTTTTGCCCATTAGGTTAGGAAAACATTATTTCAGAATGTATTTTAAACATTGAAAACGTCCATTTAGAACGTTTTTTTTTCTTGGTTAATGTGAACGTTACAGGAACGTTCCATTCACACAATTTAAAAACGTTATTTCGGAATGTTTTTTGGATGTTCACATCACCCTGATGTGGTTGGCCCATCCATCACCAGGCTTACACACAGGTACTCGAGTAGCCTATCACTAATTCAGCTTTGCTGCATGGGTTTGAACTGTGGTGGAAACTGTTGTAGCTTACCTGAAGGAAATGACAGAGAACCAGCTAACTCCTGGTTCAGCCGCGACTCAAATCGGGAACCTTCTTGCTGCGAGGTGATAGTGCTACCCATTGAGCTGCTGTGCTGTCCTATTTCTATTTTTAGTCCTATGAATTCAAAAAAATGTAAGCAATTAATTTCAAAGTGACATCAATTTTAAGTACCTAAACCTGTTGACACATTTGTCCAGAGTGTTTAAATTTTTTCCAGAGTATAATGTTTCGGTAACACTAAAGAATACGGCTCCTTCGTTAATTAATAACTACACAAGAACCTATGAGTAACACAATATTAACAATCTAGTAACTATTATTAACTAACAAGAAACTTTGATTAACAAACTGGTAAGTAATAGTGCACCGATGAAAGTCGTAGTTCACCATTAAAGGAGCATTTCACCCATTGCAACATTATTCTTTATTGAAAGTGGATCATATATGTAGTCGAAATGTAAAAGATTTGTTTAATTTGGTGCTCTCTTGACCGAGAAAAGAACCAAGGGGCTCATTTGTATGAAAGACTACAGGTCCCACAATGCACCAAATTGCGCAGCTCCGCAAGCCACACCCACTAGTCTGGAACAGCGCAAACAGAGAATTTACTCTTCTGTCTACAAGGCTAACATTAGTTGTCACCAGAGTTTGAAATTCATTTTACACAAAATGTCTAGTTGGCTGTGGCGAGCAGGACGATCGAGGGCGAGGGATGTAAGAGGACGGCGCGCAGCGCGCAGCCGGTGGCGTGAGTGATAATGAAAGACACCTGTGAGGCGCGCTCCGGTCTCGCGTCTCTCACGGAGGAGCGAAAGCATAAAACAGGGAGCGACGAAGGCAGATCGAGAGAGAAACAGGCCTGATTATATGATGTTTTGTTTCTGTTGTGTGTAACGTTACGTTGTGTGTTCTGTTTGGTGAATTACTGCATGATCCCTGGATGTTCTGTCAGGCGAAACTCTCACAACACAAACATCCGTGTGCTCGTCTGATTCAGAGATTTCCTTCAGGAGAAATTGCCATCGTTGAAATTTCTTTGCAGCAGACGGACTCTGTGTCCGTAGGACGTAGCACGCAGCGAGAGTACAGGCAACAGCAGTCCACCTCAGCTCGAGTCAGTCCAGGCTGCTCGACCGACAGGCAGCCGCCTCCTGTTCCTCCATCAGCCTCAGCTACAAACATCAGATTCGAGCAGCAGAATGTCAAAATCCTCTTCTTCCATATCATATTTAGTTTCTTCCGTTATTGTCATAACTTACTATCTCCACAGCGCTTGTTAGCTTAGCTTCCAAACAAGACGGCGGTTATTGATTCAGTATCGGCAAGTGAAGTCCCACCCACTGATCTGAAGTAGGCCTGTAGGGTGAGTGGGTCCCACACCCTGGAATAATAATGAGCTAATGTTTGTAGTCT